CCTCCCGCCGCCAAAACAACCACGCTGCGGAATAAGCACCCACGTCCTTCCCTTCGTCCTTCTTCGTCCTTTCCCCCGGCGTTTCATCAAGCCACCGGTGCAGAACTATGGTTAACTTTATTTTTTATTTTCTTAAAATTGATAGGTGCCTTTGCGGATAACCTCACCTCGATGTTGGGGATTAAAAAATAAAACGATAAAAAAAAGATAAATAATTTTTATATGTAGATTTGAAACAGAAGCCCCCCGTGTTTAAGGTATCCTTTTTAGCCGTGAACGAAATCGTCCGGCGGGGGTGGGGACTGGTCTCAGGCGGCGGTGCCGGCGCGGCTCCCGCCCGTGATCTGCCTCCGGGCGGGTTTCGTGCCCCGACGGGGCTTCCCCGGGTCGGGCGCCGAGCCGCGGCGAGCCCTCGCCTCCACCACCACCGCCCCGCCGGCAACCTTGCCACTAACCCTTCCCTTGCGCCGTTTGATGTCTAGGATCGTGGGGGGAAAAAAAACAGGGTATTTTTTGTTATTTATTATGGATAACTTAAACACTCTTTAATGTTTCTTTTACAATCAGCAGAGATTATTTAAATAAATTATTGTTTCCATGGTGCCCACGCTGAGTTTATTTGGGGATGGGAGAGGTTGAGGGTGTCGATCCGGACCCGGGCGTTCGCTGCGTCCCCTCCACCCCCTCCCCATTGCAACTGTTGCCGCAAGTGTGCAACTTCCCCCCTTCTTCCCCCTTTTCCCATCTACAATAAAATCTCGCCCCTGCCAGTCTTCTCGGCGAGGCCATGAATCACTCAGCGCTGCCTGCAGCAGCCTAGAGCCGCCCTCCCTCTCCCCTCCCCCGCCTGCTGGCGCCAGTGACATTTCACCCGGGACAGAGTCCTGCCGTTTCCCGGCTTCCCAGACAGTCCGGAGGGGTTTGGGGCAGGGCCGTGTCCAAGGACCTCAGTACTCCTGGAGCTGGTCCCCGGGCGCAGCCCTGCCCCAGAGACATTTCGCTGTGCCCCTCTGGCTGTGGCACCCAGGCCAGCAGCCTGTGTGGGAGCTTTGCTTGAGCCAGAGCTGATGGCTGCCCCCGAGCCACTCTGTGGCTCTTCGAGGGCTGGAGGCACCGACTGGACCTCTCCGAGATGTGCCCCTGGAGGACTGGACCCCTTAGGATGTTCCTCTCTGGGATGCAGCCCCTCAGCCTCCACCCTTCATAGCTCCTCTGGGATGTACCCCACGAGGATAGGATCCCTCCAGGCTTAACTCTTTTTCAGGCTGCACCCCCTCCCAGTTGCACCTTTCTGAGACGTATCCCTCGAGGGGTGGACCCCTCCCTGATGTAGCCCGCTGGAATGCTCCATTCCAC